GGCCTCGGCCAGCAGCTGGCACGGCTCCGGCGTGATGCAACGAGGCTTCCCGCAAGGCACTGTGCCCTTTGGATTCCCCCTGACAACATGGTCGGACTTTGGCGCAGCAGCTCAAAAGCGCTTCTCTGCAGCGGGCAGCCTCCCCCGGAGCGCTGCATCCCCCCAAATCCCAACCGGGCCGAGCAGGAGGAGCATAATCCCTGGAGCCCACCAGGAAGGGGTCCTAGCCCTTCCCAGAGGAAATCCTGGGCTTCCAAGGAGGCTGTGAACGAAGCCACGATGCCCTGCAGCATCCCCACTTGGTCACTGCCCCTTTGCTGTGTCCTTGCGCTTGCACCAACAACCGTCCCACCAGGGACCCGGCCCACAGCCCTGCTCCTGTCCTTGTGACAGGCTCCTCGCGGTCCCGTGGGAGGGTCCAGCGCGCGGGGCTGGCTGGTGTGTGCCCTGCAGCAAGACATCCCCTTTCTCCCCATAAAAAGTTGGGAAAGAGCAGCGGGAGCTGCCGAGCCCTTGCACAAGGGCTGCCTGCCTCCCGCGGGGCCCCACAACGTCCCCAGCCTCCCAGCGCCACCGCGCTCGTCCCCGCTCCAAGCACTCCAGTGGATGCCGGGAGAGGCCGAGAGATGCCTGGAGCCTCCCCTGCACCTGGGCCTGGCCTCGCTGCTCCAGCGCAGAGCGCTGCCGTGCGGGCAGGGCTGGCCCCAAGCTCAGCCAGCCGGGAGCCGGGCCAAGGGCACCCACGTGTGGCACCAGCTCTGGCTGGGTGCCCTGGGTCCCTCCGGGGTGGATCAGGGCCTCCCGCCACCGTTTGCCCCGCAGCGCTTTGCTGACACCCCTTCCCTCCCCGCCGCCCAGCCGGGCAGGGCCGTCGGGTTTCGGATGCGCTCACGATTGCTCAGCCCCTGCCTCGGGCCCTGCTGCATCCATCACCCACAGAGCTGCTCCCTCCCTGTCCCCAGGTGCGGGAGATGAGCCGGGATCCCGGAGGCTCCTTTGCTGCTGCATCCCGCCCTGCGAGGATCCCCCGCAGTATCTGCTTTGCAGAAAGGGACCACATCCCCCTTTGGGAAATTGTGCAACACCAAACTGCAGGGAGAAAACCCTCCCAATCCGGCAAAGGACACGAAAGGTGCCGTCCTGCTCTCTCTACCTCTACGCTGTCCGCAACACAGGGCACATGGAGGCTTCTGCTACCTGCAGCCTCCCTGCCCCGGCACTAAGGGCTGCTTGTTGCTCCCCTAAAGATCTCTTTTGCCCAAGGCAGTTTCTTGGTGATTTGCTCAAAGACCAGGAATTCCAAAATCATCAGGAGCTAAAGAGCTCCAGAGAATAAGAAAGCCAGAGCCATAGCACAGGAATCCCAACACATCAGTCCCAAGGATGAGGTTACCTAGTCCCTCCGGAGCCGGTAAGGTGCCAGGGTGCCCTGAAAAGCCCTTGCTTCCATGGGAGCAGCCGGCATATCCCCACTCTGCAGGGAGGGACAGGGGAGCAGGGAGCAGGGCTGGCTCCAAAGGGGGAACCACTGGTGCTGCTCACCCCAGCACAGGGTCCAACACGCAGCCCCATTGGCGGAGCTCTGCGGTGCCTGGGACCCCGCACGGGGTGCTAAGCCCTGCCCAACTCATTGCACCCCTCTGCTGCTTGGGGTGCGTGGGGCACCTTGGCATGGGATGTCTGGCCTAGGGCCACCTGATCCCAGCTCCGCCCGGGCCGGGCCAGCTCAGCATCGTCTCTGCCGAACCTGCCCCGGGAGCGGAGCCGGCCCCACTCGACGCCCACTCGTCGCTCCCTCTTGCTCCAGAGGCTTCGGGCAGACGAGCGGATGGGGAGGAGAGGAGTTTGCCCAGGGTGCCCTTCCCGGCTGTGCCCAGGGTGACTCGCTGATGCGCCCGGATGGGCAGGAAGCCCCAGGGTGACGCGGGCCTGGTGACACCAGCGGCTGCCTGGGGCTCCCGCAGCTTCGGTTCCCCAAAGCCTCGGAATTTCCTTGGCTGCT